AAAAGAAAAGAAAGAAAGAAAGAAAAAAATAATAGAATATGATACACACACACACCATGGAATACTACTATTCAGCCATAAAAAAGATGGAGACTTTACATCTTTTGTATTTACATGAATGGAGTGGAAGAACATTCTTCTCAGTAAAGTATCACAAAAATGGAAAAGAAAGTATCTAAGGTAGGCAATACTAATAGTATGAAATCAATAGATGAACAGCTACACCCTCACGTGAGAGGAAAAACCCAATTAAATTCAAGTGGGGGCAGAGAGGAGACTGGTGGTAGAAGCCACTACAACAAAGACAAGGAGGTGTGACCACCCCTGGAGACTTGGATGTCTTCACAGTTGCATCCCTAGCATTTAACAAGGTATTGGGCAAACGTATGGAACAAAAAAGGTGTTTAATGAAAGTCTGTGCATTAAAGATGAAAGACTGATTTAACAAGTGCGTGAGAGAGAAATAAAAAAAGAAGTACAAAAAGGAAGGACAAAAGGATGGAGGAAGGAGGAGACTATAAGATGAGTGAAAGAATGAAAAAGATGAAGTAAAAACTCACACATGTTTGAGGGAAAGTGTTTCTAAACAAATGAGAGGCTGAAATGTTTTGGATTCTGAAAAGCAAGCAATAGAGAATAAACAATGAGAATAAAGAAGAAGAATAGTAAGTGTAGGAACATCCTGGTGAGAGATTTGGAAGGAAGCAATCTTCTTAGGAAGCGCTTATGTGCGTTACCACTGATGTGCCTTCCAGTGTTCAGTCATTATCAGGGTCTCCACCATTTGCAGACTACAGTATCATCCTAACTCTTAACTGAGGGTAACCTTAAGTTGCATTACTTAACAAGACATTGGATTATTTTTGGTTTGATACAGAAAATGAAACAGTGTTATATTTTTCTTCTTTGATTTCACAAATGATTCTATAAATGCTGAAACCTGGGCAGAATATTTTACAAGAGGCTTTTCACTGTGTTCAGAAACCCTAAATCTCCAGGTACTTGCTATAAAACCTCTGAGATCTCCTTTTGTTCAAGAAATTCAGAACATCAGTCCATTAAATCTTAAGATACTGCTATCAGAAGTACATACTACAAATGTTTGGAAAGGCTGAATGCCTTACATTAAGACAGAGCTGACATTCAAACTTTTTTTATTTCAGTCCTCTGTTTTTGTCTGGCAAGCCATACCATCTCTCTGCTAGAAGGTCAATGAATGGATGGCAATATACTTGGGAGCTTAACAGATTCCAAGAAAACTCATTTTTTTCTGGCTGTGAAATTTTATGCTAGAAATAGCTTTGGGTCATACTTATCCCTTTCTGCTAAATCCTATGGAGAATATAGATTCTTCAAAATGAGGTATGGTAGGACATATTTTTGCTAGTTTAACACACAGAATAATAGTATTAATGGAAGCATTCATTGGTGGTGTCCATATTGAATGTTGTGTCAGACATAATAGTTTGGACTGGGAAAGTCTCTAGGTGTCTTATTACTGATAACAAACTTTTCAGGAGAGAAAATATTCTGAAACTGTACTGAAGAGCATGGCATCTGTTGCTATTTTGAATTATTTGGCTCTTTCTTGGATCCAGGGCGTTGCTTTCTGTGTATGACCACTAGGAAAATGTGTTCTCTCTCCATCTCCAAACTGCCTTAATACTTGGCAGCAAAACTGATTCTCATAAGAAGATAATTCAGCGTCCCATTAGTAAGTGTGTGGGCAGGCCAGACAGTGGCCTCTTGGCACTGGTACTCAGGATGCCCCAATTGTTGATCAAGGTGTTTTCCAACGTTAAAGAAGAGTAATAATCCAGGGATTTGTTAAATGAAGATTAGAGGCTTCTACTCTGTTGTCTCAGGCACGTAATAATCTATAAAACAACATGACAGCTACCAGGTATCTGTAGCCTCCATTTTGAGGTTGAAGAAAATAAAACTAAAATAACCAGCAGTGTGCCAGGTGCCACAGAAATTAGTTTGGAATACAGCTAGAATTTTATGTTCAATTGGTCAAACTGGTCATTGGGATATCTGAAAACAGCTTTTGAACATAGGATTTCTTTTATTTTGGGGGTTTGACAAGGAAAATTCTTATCAGCTAATCATATCTATGTCTCATAGTGTCACTATACTTCTTTTCAATAACTAAAAAAATTCCTAACCCCAAAGAATCCAAAAAGAGAAAGATTCTGAAATGATCTCACCATTTTGAGTGTGTCACGTCTTTCTTTCACTTCCGTTTTCTATACCCACTTTCCACTTGCTACAACAATTCATGGTCTGAACCCTCAAAGGGTTCACAGACCAGTGGAGGGAAACAACCCAAGGGGTGACAAAGCAGACGCTGTGATCCCGAGGAAGGTAGAGTCCTTGGCAATGTTTAGATGGGAACATGTCACATGAGAGGGTTTGTAAGGTCAAGAAGGGACAATGTTCCTTCTTTCTGAGACCAGAATAGGATCCATATCTTGAAAAACTAACAGAATCACATGAAAGTTTGGAATTTCAGTCCAAGGAAAAAAATGGAAAATCTATCAAAGAGGTTTAGAGAGTGACATGAGCAAATCTGCGTTTAGAAAGCTAAATCTGTTGGCACTGTGGAGAAGATGGGCTAGGAGGCAATTGCGTTAATTTAGCCAAGAAGTGATGAGCACCTAAACCAGAGCGGCAGGGAGATGGAGAGGAGGGGATCGAGCTGATCTCTGCTTTCAAATTACTGGCTCATATTGCAAGGACAAAAATTAATAGTGTACGGTTATTCACAGGTTTTTTTTCTTTCTCCAACAAAAATTGAGAAAATGGCAAAACTAAAGGACAAGGGGAAATAAAAAAAAAATGTCTTTAAATAATAGTATTATCCTGTTGCTTAAGAAACCTGTAAGTTATTCTTGAACTATTCCCAGATATACAGGGACATATTCATTTGTTAATCTAATAGTCATTGGCCGTTCCCTTTGAGCCAGGTACTGTTCTGGACATGAAAATACCAGACAAGGTCTGAGTGCGTTCTGCCCAGATACCTCTAAAGTTTTCAATTTCTCTGGATCTCGCTATCCACACAAATCCTCTTTTCCCCACTTCTGTCCCTCAACTGATGAAGTCTTACTCATAGTCTGCATCAGCTGAAAAGCCACTTCCTCCCACGGGACTTCCCAGAGCCACAGCAGTGGTTAGGGCCCCAAGACTTTTCTTCCATTGCACCTGCCCAGAACTTCCCCTGAGAGAACTTCTGACCACATGGTGCTGAGATCATACTGGTTCAAGAGTCTACAGTTCTCTGAGGACTCTGACCACCCTGCTCTGAGCACTGCCTGGCACACAGTAGGCACTTGGATATTTTGTAAGTAGTGAATAGATTAAATTCCTCAGGACAGTGAGTTGTTTCTTCCTACTATAAAATTATATCTTTATAAACATAAACCAAATTTATGCTTTAAATTGGCACTAAGGCAGCCCCTTCTGCTCAGGAAGATCAAGGCCATGGGATGGTAACATGCTCTATTTCTAGATTCTACATCTAGATTGGAAAAAAAAAAAAAAAAACAGAAAACGGGCCACATATGGTTAGCAAAACTCATTTCAAAAACTTGGCATGTTCTCAAACCATATTCAAAGCTTATGTCAGTTTTGAAGACACAAATAAAATGTATTTTCCAGAACTTCCCCTTCTTTGGTTGAATTTTTAGAAAAGATCTCCCACAATGTGAACTTCTGTAAACTGTATCCTAAGCTGAATCTGAATATTGTGATTTGAAATATTTTCCGTATACTCTCTCTTCTTTAAGCCATGACACTTTAAGCAGTAGAGAAATCTTATGTATGTATAGAAATGAGGAATGTTTTAATTTTAGATTCCAAAGAACCATGGATAATAACATATGTTAATCTTAAATGCACTTGTCATGTTTTTAAGTAAAAATAAGTCTCTTAAAGATGCTCCATAGAATTTGCCCCAGCTTTCTTTAATAAGCATTATATTTCTATTCTGTCTCTTTAGAAACTCAGAAATGAATAAAAGGAACTCTGATATATGTTAAGAAAACCTCTCTACTCCCCACTCTAGCCTCCTTATTTTAATATTATGACTAAACATCGTATTAATGGGCAGCAATATTAATCTGAAATTCTTGGTGACAGCAATTTGTGATGAATAATGACATGTTTATTTTTCAAGCATTAACACCCTACTCATGATTACCCTAAGCTCTATCATAAAAATCTTGAATTATCATGGAGTTTGATAGAAAAAAACATAAAATCCATTCACTAGATTTGCCTAACTCTATATTATATCCAACTGATTAATTCAGCAGAAAGGATTAATTATTTTTGTTCCTTATCCTTCACTTTTTCCTCTTTTTCTTCCTATTTGAATTTGGGAGTATATTGCATGACAATACTGTCAAGCACCTCTTATAAAAATAAGCAAGATGAATTTATAATGTTAGAGTATGTTTTTCTTCATGGTGCAAATTTATCATTAAAATCCCTATTTCATACCTGGGGACAGAAAGCTACAAATTTGTACAAAGTTACATGGTAAGCCAGGAAGGAAGGGAAGGTAAATTAGTATTTGTCTAGGCTCTTGCCTTAGTCCATTCAAACTACTAAAAGAAGATACTATAGACTGGGTGTCTTAAAATAGCATACGTTCATTTCACATAGTTCTGCAGGCTGAGAAGTCCAAGGTCAAGGTGCTGGTTGAGTCAGCATCTGGTGAATTCCTGCTTCCTGGTTCATAGCTAACCATCTTCTCACTGTACCCTCATATAGCAGATGGGGGAAGGGCTTCCTCTAGGCTCTCTTTTATAAGGACCCTGATTTTATTCATGAGGGCTCTACCCTCATGTTCTAATCACCTCCCAAAGGCCTCACCTTCAAACACTATTACATTGGGGATTAGGTTTCTGCATATGAATTTTGAGGGGAGATGGGTATTTGTCTACAGCACTCTACTTATTTCTGCCATCGTGCTTGGTGATTTGAAAATGTTCTATGTTATTTTACCTTATTATTCACATATAAAAACCCTGAAAACTATTTCCCTCATTATAGAGATAACAATAATTAAAGTTCACTAGGTATATATCCCCTACCCATAACTAGATAGCTAGTAAATGAGTTGGTTACATATTTGGGGCAGAGGTGAAATCTCCTAGTAAGAATAAATAACACATTTGATATTTAAGATATATCAATTCTGGGTATAAAATCTATAGCTTACAGAAACTGAGCCCTTTGGGGGGACATAGTTATTTATTGTTGTTGATTTATTTTTATTTTGTTTTATAGTATTAGTTCACCACAGCAGTTAATAATAAGGTGAGTAAAAATCCCATTTTCAACACTTGACCTTAATATCTTAGAAGCATCAATAAAGAGGCAGACACAGGAAATTGATGTCTGGGGACAAAGAAAAGAAAAAAAAAAAAAACCCTAGAAGAGTTAAGCTATTAGGAGCATAAAATAGAAAATAAGTATCGAGGATATGAAGTGGTGGAAATGAATATTTGAGCCTCAGGCAAGAAATCCACAGATTATGGCTTTGAATGAGCACGTGGGCTCAGGGAAGACATTAAGGGTAATGGTGAGTGAACAATTTGGGAGACAATATGAACACAGTTGAATTTACTGGAGTCAAATTTCCACATCAAAGTATACGGCATGATTAAAAAATATATACATATACAGGGCAGTTGGTTATTTTTGCTTTTAGTGTCAAATAAGGATTTTTTGTCCAAACAATAGAAGATACATTCACTTCCTGACACCAGTTGCATTTTCTGATCTAAGTTACTTTTATTTAGCAACTGGTGTCTGCACAGCATTATACTGGTTCATTTAAGATTTTTCCCAGTACGACTGTCTGAAAACCCAACTATAATTGGCTTGCACAAAATAGTACTTATGTTGGTAAATACCAACGTATTTGACATACCTGAATAGCCCTGAGATTGATCTAGCTGCTGACATAACTAGATGGAATCTTCTACAATGCCCAGAGACCCGGTCTCGCAATCTTCCCTCATAGCAAAGATGAGGCAGGTCTGGGCTTTTAGCCAGTGCAGCTGCACTCAGCACCCTGGGTTCACTATGATTTGACCCAACGAAGCATTTGCCAGTCCCTAAAATAGTTGTGGTGGACAGGGGGTTGCAGCGCTTGGCCAGCTTGAGTGACATGCTGGACTGAAGGGAAAACAAATTGGTCTCCCTGTGGGCATTGCCAGAGGAAGGGAAAATGAGGCCCTTGGAAATAAAAATGACATGTGTCCACACATTTATCTGACTAAGTCCTCTATTTAGCTGCCTCCAAAGTAGACTTACTTCCTTTCTTCACTTTTTCTTTATAAAACAAATATACACCAGTGACTATAGCAGTGATTACCTGCTATAAGTGAGTCAGAGTGACCAGCCACTTGCACACATCAAGGTCCAAAGGAGGCTGCAGTGAGAGTGTAAATCTGATTAATTGCATAACAGGTTCCATCTGTGCAAGTTCAAGGCAGCTATAACTAACTACGGTATGCCACTCTCTTAAACATTTGACTTTGAACTGAGGCATATTACCTGTTAAAATAGGAAAAGGTGTAATACACTAGTTTCTTTACTCTCTTTTTGCCCAATTTTCTTGAGCATGAATCAGTGTAGTGGGAAATGATACTGGGAAAAGGCCCGTCCTCTGGAGCAGGGTCCCTCAGGTAGGTGGGCTGGATTTGAGTGAGTAGCTCAAGGGTGAGCGGGGGTCCACCTGAGGATCCGTAGAGAAGGCAAGAGAGAGGCAGCATTAAACACAAACCTTTTAAGTCATTGTTTCAATAGATAAAGTCTCAATATCTATTCCCTCTACTCATTCATAGTGAAATGCCTGCTGGAAATATTCCCTTAGTTAACAGATGCTGGGGGTGGGGGTCAACTTGCCCACAGGCAAATTTCAACCTCTTCTTTACAGTTGGCGCCTCCTCCATTTCCCTTTCTGATGCCCCCATTTCCTTTATGACTGAATGCACCTTTGCCCTAATACCAGGTAAATACATCTTTTAAAAAAATCAATAGAATAAAAAAAACCTAAATGGTTCAAAGTTAGAAATACACTAGATTATGAATCAGTGTCAGAGATGGATTTCGGAGCTCAGCTCCACAGAATCACTCTAGGGAGAAAATAGCCCAGAAAGCAAACTCCTAGGTAACCTCTCAGTTTGCATCCCAGCTTTCTAGATAGGCTTGAAGGAGAGTCTATATATATGCATATTTATATATGGAAAGGGATGCTATTTTTTTCTAGTGGTTCCACCAAAAAATCCTAAGTACAAAATATTGGCATGTTTGCTTCCAAATTGCACAGAGAAGTAACACCCTGTCACTTCTAAAGATGACGTCTCACCTGTGTAGCTCACCTTTGTCAGGGGTTGTGTTTTCATCTTTGAAAGACAGCAGTTCTCAGAAGGAAACACGCAGCATTAATTCTGAGTGATCTTCAAGAAGGCAGCAAGACAAGTAACAATCTCTGGTGATTAGCAGCATCGGGCCTGTTTTGAAGTTCTT